GTTCAAGCGATTCTCCTGCCTCAGTCTCCCGAGTAGCTGGGATTACAGGCATGTGCCACCAAGCCTGGCTAATTTCTTGTATTTATAGTAGAGATGGGGTTTCACTGTGTTAGCCAGGATGGTCTCGATCTGACCTCGTGATCCACCCACCTTGGCCTCCCAAAGTGCCAGGATTAGAGGTGTGAGCCGCCGCACCCGGCCCAGAGCCACAACTTTAAGGAGGCCTCTCCACCACCTTAGCAGTGGCCGCCCCTCATACCGTCGGCTTGGCACTCAAGGCCTCTGCTCATTCTCCATCCCACATAACCTGCCCTGGCACTTCCTGAATCACACGGTGGCTTCTCATCACACCTTTACCTGTGCCATTCCCCTTACCTGGGATGCCCCCTTTTCCTTCTCGCTTGGTGAACTCCTACCCACCCTTCAATACCCAATGCAAGACACCCTTCCTTTGAGAAGCTCATCCTCACAATTCAAGCTCATGCACCCTGGCTTCTCTCTCACCCAGATGGATGTAGTCCTGCGTGTTGGTCTCCTTGTTCCTCTCCCTCCCCACACAGTGAGCTCCGTGAGGGTAGAGCACCCATTGGGACTTCCTTAACCCAGTGGTTACCACTTCCTCTATTTAAACATAAAACAGATTAAAGAGGCCAGATGCAGTGGCTCACGCCTATCATCCCAGCTCTTTGGAACGCTGAGATGGGAGGATTGCTTGAGCCAGGAGTTCGAGACCAGCCCGGGTAACAGAGTGAGACCCTGTCTCTACAAAAATTAAAAATGTTAGCCCGGCATGGTGGCGTGCACCTGCAGGAGGCTGAGGCAGGAGAATCGCTTGAGCCTGGGAGTTCGAGGCTGCAACGAGCTATGATTGCACCACTGCACTCCAGCCTGGGCAATAGAGTGAGACCTTCTCCAAAAAAAAATTTAATAAATAAAATAGATTAACAGGTCCCTTCTGTTGCAGTGAAGGAACTGGAAGTCTTTTCTATCTGCCCCTAACTCTTTCCCAAGGCGGCTTCCTCCATTTTCATGCGTTCTTTCAAGTACATTGAGCACCTCCTTGTGCCAGGAACTGTTTGTGGCACCGCAGAGCCAGCAGTGGGGAAGACAGGAGCTCACAGCAGAGCTGGGGAGAGAGTTATAACAGCCAGCAGAGGGCACTGTGAGCGTGGACATGCAGCCTGCATGTGAGCTTGAACCATGATGGGCTTCTCAGAGGAGGGGTGTCTTGTGTTGGGTACTGAAGGGTGAGTAGGAGTTCACCAAGCGAGTGCATGGAGAAGGGGGCATCCCTGGTGAAGGGAATGGCATGGGTAAAGGCGTGGAGATGAGAAGTCACTGTGATTCAGGAAGTGTCAGGGCAGGCTATGTGGGATGGAGAATGGACAGAGACCTTGAGTGCCAAGCCTAGGACAGTGGGGAGCCATAGAGGAGTTTAGAGCAGAGGAGGAACATGGGCAGCGCAGCAGTGGAAGAAGGGCATGGGGCAGTGAGCAGGGGTTGAGGGCAGAGGGGCCAGACTGGGCCCTGGATCCGGGCTAGACCCCCACACATGTTCCCATCACCTACAGGCCCCAAAGCCCAAGAGGAAGGTGGAGGTCTGGGAGCAGAGCGTTGGCAGCCTGGGCAGCCGGCCCCCGCTGTCGAGGCTGGTCGTGGTGAAGAAGGCAAAGGCCGACCTGGACTGCAGCAATGGGCAGCCTCAGGCAGCCCCCGCCCCAGGTAAGGTCACAAGAGTTCCCAGAGCCGGGCGCGGTTTCCATAGTGACCTCCAGGTGGCGGCAGCGCTCCCTGTGCAATTACAGAGGCTTCATGGGGTGGGTTGAGGGTGGCCTGCAACCCCCACAGGACCAATTAGTGGAGTGAGCAGAGAAGGCGGGCAGCTTATTTTTGTCTTTTTTCTTTCTTTCTTTTTTTTTTTTTTGAGTCAGTCTTGCTCTGTTTCCCAGGCTGGAGTGCAGTGGTGCCATCTCAGCTCACTGCAACCTCCGCCTTCCCGGTTCAAGCAGTTCTCTGCCTCAGCCTCCCAAGTAGCTGGAACTACAGCACCACGCCCGACGAATCTTTTGTATTATTAGTAGAGATGGGGTTTCTTCATGTTGGTCAGGCTGGTCTTGAACTCCCAACCTCAGGTGATCCAGTCACCTCGGCCTCCCAGAGTGCTGGGATTACAGGCGTGAGCCACCACGCCCGGCCTCTTTTTGTCTTTCAATTACAAAAAGAGCCAGTGCTTGCTTTTAAAGCCCAAATCCTGTGGGAATGTATAAAATCAATGTTGAATCCGTGTTTCCCTGCCCAGCCTTCGCTGCCAGCAGGTGCCAGGATCCCCCGTCCCACCTCCGGGGCTGTCTGTATGGCATGTGTGTCTCTGTTGTCACACACCTGGTGCTCTGTAGGGACGAAAGTCCCACACCCCCAGCCCCGGGGGATGGAGGATGGGAGTGGGGTCAGCATTGCCAGGTGGTTAAGACCAGAATTCGGAGCCAAGCATCCGGGGGGCAGGTACTTTGCACCCCTACCTGCTTGTCCTATGGCCTTGGCCAAGGGACTTTCCCCCCAGCGGGGCCTCAGTGTCGTGTCCTGTAAAATGCAGCCGAGGGGACCTACCTCACGTAGGTAGAGTCGGCTCCCGGTTTGGGTTGATTCCGTGAGCTGTGGCACTTGAGTAGACCCTGGCACACGATGAGACTGTGAGACATTTGAGACATTTTTATCAGTGCTGGTAAAAATTATGCCATCTGGCCAGGCGCAGTAGCTCACACCTGTAATCCCAGCACTTTGGGAGGCCAAGACCGGCAGATCACTTGAGGTCAGGAGTTCAAGACCAGCCTAGCCAACATCATGAAACCCCATCTCTACTAAAATTAGCCAAGCATGGTGGC